GAGGGGGTAAGGGTGGGAAGGAGACAGATTGGTTTCCCAATATCAAGAAGATATTATTTCTGATAAGCTATTTGTCTTTATTGATTTTGTGTGTGTGTCTCTATATGTGTGTGTGTGTGTGTGTGTGCGTGCGTGTGCGCGTGCGTGCGTGGGTGTGTGTGTGGAATGGGGGGATGGAACCAAGGCATGTGGAAGAAAGCATCCAATAAAAGAACTGTCAGTTGAACGGGTCGACAGGACAGAAAACAAAAGTCAAAAGGAAGGGAAGGTAAAAGTGATTGTAAAGTTGAACATCTTGTCCAAGAGCTAAAAAATTCTGGTGCCAAAAGCGGCAGCACATTTATATATATTATATATTTATATATATATATATATATTAAATTATAAGCAATTTTCAGCCTGCTAGAGACTCCTGCTGCCTGAGCGAAAACTGCTGGGAATTAAACCAGAAAACAAAGGAATGAATGCTGTTTATGCTAGTGCTCTCTCTTTTTTGCTACTAACAATGTATATAGAACTTTTGTATCTAAGGCTGAGGTGGGCTTAGCCTGCTTGTCTTGAATAAATAATGACAAATTAAGAAAATATTGTACACAACATTTTTTTCAAGGGCTCTTTTTTGTGCTATGCCCTTTTCATTTTTTGCTAACTTTTTGAATTCACCATTTGAGTTGCTCATGTACGTTGTCTGAAGTACTCCTTGTTGCATACTAGTATATATAGAGCCATCTCATTTCTTAAGTGCAGTTGACCTCCCCCACCCCATACAGTACTGAAAACAAGTCTGAGGAAAACATTATACACATGCATTATACTGTGTATGTTTTACTAGCTTTGATAGCGAACGAATAGGAAACAAATAACAATTAAAAACAAAATATAAGTAAAAGTAAGCCTTAAAGGATTCTCTAATACTTGTGAGCAAACTGAATTCAGAATTCAGGGATTTCTTTAATATCATGAATTCATGTATAGTGGGCAAAAAACAACAACAACTGCCTGATATACAGTTGAAAACAGAATTACTGTTCTATTTTAGGTAGGAAGAGAAGGTTCAAACTGAGTCTGATTCTTTTAAATCAATGTTAATGAATTTCAGCTGATGTGTTTTTAATCCGGTTGGAATTAAACTTTTGGTTTTGAGGGGATAAAGAAATGATCCATACTTTGTTCATTTTTCTTCACTGTGTGGTACATACATATGATGAGTTTTACAATTTTTATCACCTGTCTTCCTCAGCATGTTGTAGACATATTTTGCCACCACTTGCAGAAGACATGAATTCAATTCCCATATGTGAGGCAGGATGGTGGAATCAGGCTCTCGTCAAAATAATGAAAAAGAAGAAAACAGCAGTTTTCTCCCTGCTTAGCAATTTTTATCAAATTTTTGTTTTTTGGCTCAA